TTGGTTTTGGGGACGGTGGTAGTGTGATAGTTGTGGTGAGGTGGCAGTGATGGTAGTTGTGGTGACGGTGGTGTGATGGTGTTGTGGTGAGGAGGTAGTGATGGTATTGTGGTGACGGTGGTGGTGATGGTAGTTTGGTGACGGTGGTAGTGATGGTAGTTGGGTGCGGTGTTGGTGAAAGGGGTTGTGGTGACGGGGTGTGATGGTAGTTGTGGTGCGGTTTGGTGATGGGAGTTGTGGTGACGGTGGTAGTAATGTAGTTGTGGTGACGGTGGGGAGTGATGGTAGTTGTGGTGACGGTGGTAGTGTGGTAGTTGTGGGCGGAGGTAGTGATGGTGTTTTGGTGACGGTGGTGGTGTGGTAGTTGTTGTGCGGGGGTGTGATGGTAGTTGTGATGACGGTGGGGGGGATGGTAGTTGTGGGACGGAGGTGTGATGGTATTGTGGTGAGGGGGAAATGATGGTGTTGTCGGGTTGGTTTGTGATGGTTTTGTTGTGGTGACGGTGGTAGTGTGGTAGTTGTGGTGACGGAGGTAGTGTGGAGTTGTGGTGACGGGGGTAGTGATGGCAGTTGTGGGGACGGTGGTGTGGGCGGTGGTAGGATGGTAGTTGTGGTGGGTGGTTTTGGTAGTTGTGGTGACGGTGGGTGGTGATGGTGTTGTAGTGAGGAGGTATGATGGTGTTGTGGGACGGTGGTAGTGATGGAATTTGGTGACGGTGGTAGTGGTGGTAGTTGTGGGGGGGGGTACTGATGGTGTTTTATGACGGTGGTGTGATGGTAGTTATGGTGACGGTGGTGGTGTTTGGGGTTTTGGTGCGGGGTGGTGTGGTAGTTGTGGTGCGGTGGTGGTGATGGGAGTTGTGGTGAGGTTGTTTGTCGTGGAGTTTTTGGTGGTTGTTGGTATTGTGTGGTTGTTTGGGGTTGTGATGGTTGTTGGGGTTGGGTGGTTGTGTGGTTGTTGGTAGTTGGGGTGGTTTGATGGTTGTTGGGTGTTGTGGTGGTTGTGATGGTTTTTGGGTAGTTGTGGTGGGGTTGTTGGTAGCGGGGGTTCTAGCACACCCAAAACTACTACTGAAGACTATAATTTTTTTTTTTAAAAAATTAAAGGAAAACCCGGAGAACTGGCTTCTGAGAGCCTCACCCGCCCGCCTCACACACGCCAGCCTCACACACGCCAGCCCACACACGCCAGCCACACACGCCAGCTACCAGCTTGCCTCACACACGCCCGCCTAAAACACCCAGCCTCACACACACCAGCCTCACACACGCCCGCCTCACACACGCCGCCTATCCGCCGCCTCACTCAGCCAGCCCCCACAACGCCGCCTCCACCGCCGCCTCACTCACGCCCGCCCACTCACGCCAGCCCCACCACGCCCCGCCTACACACGCCCGCTAAAACACCCACCCACACACGCCAGCCCCCACACGCCCGCCTCACAACGCCGCCCACACACGCCCGCCGCACACACGCCAGCCTCACACCGCCGTCTCACACACCCAGCCCCAAACCCCGCCGCCTCACAC